TTAAAAACTTGTCCAGTAGCACGTTAGAGACCAACTAAGTTTGTTCTTGGTATAAGCTTTCGTGTGCATGCACACTTCTTCAGATACACTGAAACAGAAGTCACCAGACCCTTATATATAGTGGGAGGGTGGGGTTTTTCTCAGGAGGGTAGTAGGAGATGGCTGATTGACTCAATGAGTATGGTAAACCTGTTGACGACAGGAATGCACACGAAAGCTTATACCCAGAACAAACTTAGTTGGTGCTACTGGACAGCTTTTTATTTTTTTTTAATTATATTGGATGTTAGTTTGCAGCCCTATCCTATGTAGAGTTAAATGAGCCCACATTGAAATCAATGATCTGACATGTTCACGTAACTGCAACTTTACACTTTGGTGCAATGCATGCTTATTTGAAAGTAAGTTTCATTGAAATCTGAATCTGCAAAGTAAACATTATTGAGTTTGGGCTGCCTGGCTGCATTCACAAGCAGAATTAGAAATGGCAGCGATTGGTGCAGTGTGGGGTTGGCATTTACCCAACCTCCCAGCAAATGAGTTGCTGCTACCTACCAGAAGGTGAGGTGGCCGTGTGGGTGGCATGATGCAAATGGACCAGCAAGAAAGCCTATTTAAAACCAATGGTATGTTTGCACTACACACCCCTCCCTGCTGCCTCACCCCTTCCCCTCTTAGTACAGTGGTACCTCGGGTTACATACGCTTCAGGTTACATACGCTTCAGGTTACAGACTCCACTAACCCAGAAATAGTACCTCGGGTTAAGAACTTTGCTTCAGGATGAGAACAGAAATCGGGCTCCGGCAGCGCAGCGGCAGCAGGAGGCTCCATTAGCTAAAGTGGTGCTTCAGGTTAAGAACAGTTTCAGGTTAAGAACGGACCTTTCACCTTTGGTGGACGTGCCCAAGGATTAAGGCTTTCTGGGAAATGATATATAATGAATTAAAAAAGGTATTTAAGTATACCTTCCCTAAGAAACCAGAGGCCTTTCTCCTGGGCATAGTCGGCCAAATGGTGTTAAAAAAGGATAGAACTTTCTTTATGTATGCAACAACAGCAGCAAGAATACTCATCGCAAAGTATTGGAAGACACAAGAACTTCCCACGCTGGAGGAATGGCAGATGAAACTTATGGACTATATGGAATTGGCGGAAATGACTGGTAGAATCCGTGACCAGGAGAAGAGTCGATGGAGGAAGACTGGAAGAAATTCAAAGACTATCTTCAGAAACACTGCAAAATTAAGGAATGTTAGAGTGATGTTGGACTGAAAACAAGTGGTTTCCAGCTGTACAGGTTAAAGTTAAGGATAGATTAAGATTAAAGATCAAGATTAAAGTTGTTTAAAGAAATGGAAATTTGATAATAAAAGGGAAAAATTTAAAGTTGTATGACATTAAGATCAAGGATTAGGTTTAAAAAAGTTGAAGTTATATATCTTAACGAGTTATTAAATTAAAGATTGGGATTAAAAAAGTGGAAAAGAAACTGCTGGACAAACAATGTAGATTGGAATACAAAAGAGGGAGGTATGAGGAAGTCCAGAAAATAAGTAATTTAAAATTGGAAATGGAAAAGAGAGTTTGTTTTTAATTGTTATGTTTTGTGATTTTATTGTTAAGTTTTGTATTGTTTTTTGTGTGTGTTGTTTTTCTTTTTTGTTTGTTTGTTTAAAATTTTAATAAAAAATTATTAAAAAAAAGAAAAAGAAAAAAGAACAGTTTCAGGTTAAGAATGGACCTCCGGAACGAATTAAGTACTTAACCCGAGGTACCACTGTAAGTGGTAGCGACTCACATGCTGTGAGGTCAGGTAAATGTCTCCACCTCCCATCCACTCATTCCACTGAAATCAATGGGACTTCTTTCCAAATAATTGACATCACAATCAGACAATTAAGTTCTATGCAGCCCAATCCTACGCATTTTTACTAAGAATTCTCGTTGAGTTCAGAGAGGCTTGCTCCCAAGGAAGCATCTTCAAGATTGCAGTCTTCGTTTCAAAAAGAAAAGTTACTTTTGAAAAGAATGGGGTGGGCATCTGTACATCTAAAAATACAATTGACTGTATTATTTATGTGGAACAGTGCAGCTCTGTGGACTTCCCCCCATCTGTTCAGCTGCAGAAAACTAAATTGAAGTTAAATGGGCTTTTAGAAAAATCATTATGGCTTAAATTGAACATGATTCATTGGGAAAATAAAGCCATATGTGTTGCATTAGTTTTTCATCTTTGCTCTGTCCCAGTTTTGCTTGATTGGATTTATGTCGTATTTGGTATTTTAGATGTGACACAGCAATTTAGAGCTGAAGAAGACCACTCTGCATTTCAAAGTAGTGTTTACAGTTCCATTGCATAACTTACTAACTAAAAACCAATAGAAGTTGGAGTCATAAGATTCTACAAGCTTCTCTGGATTTTACTGCTCTAAAACCATGCCTACATTGCATTGTTGATATGCATACCACAGTAATTCATGCCTTCATCACATCCAGACTGGATTCCTATAACATGAAAAGCATTTGGATGTTTCACTTGGTGCAGAATACATCCTGCCAAGCAGCTGACCAGAGTTGGCTGCGGGAACTTATTGCACCAATTTTACAAGAACTACCCTGGCTTTTGCTTGGCTTAGTCCAGTTAAAAGTGATAGTATTGACCTTTAAGGTCATGGTTGCTCATACTGTTGAAGCAGACCCTGCGAGTGTTCCTATTTTCCAGGGACAGTCCCAGATTTACGGAAGCTGTCCCAGTTTCTGATTTGATCCTGGAATCTCCTGCTTTTCCTTAGGATGTCCCTATTTTCATTGGAGAAATGTTGGAGGGTATTTAGATATGGGACTCCCAAGCCACCCAGGGGCGAAGGAAGGCTAACCAGTGCGGGGTGTGGGGCAAACCGCTCGGAGGCGTATGCGCGTGCAGCGTACGCATGGCACATGCACAGTGCTGCTATGTGCCACACATGCGCCGATGGGCGGTTTGCCGACGGGGCAGCGTATGGATGGTGGAGCTGCAAAGCCGCACGCAGCCGATAGCTAGCAGGTAGGCTTGCCTTGCGTGCTGCTTTGCAGCCCCCGCTCGCTGTAGGCCTGGGAGTTGCGGGGGGCAGGCGAGAGGAATGTCACCCCCGTCAGGATGGCACCCAGAGCACGGCACACCTGCCTTGCTCCACCTCTGAAGCCACCTGAAGGCAGCCCTGTATAGGGAAGTTTTTCCTTCTGTTTTTATGTATGTTGGAAGCTGTCCAGAGTGGCTAGGGCAACCCAGTCAGATGGGTGGGGTATAAATAGTACAATTATTATCATTATTATTATGGAAAGGACATCCCTATTTTCATCGGAGAAATGTTGGAGGGTATGTTGAAGGACCACCCACTCTCATATGAGCCTACCTGCAAATTAAAGTAATCCTCCCAGGCCTTGCTCACTCTTTCTGAAATACAGTGGCTGGCCAAGTAGAATATGCCCTTTTAAAACTATGGTACTACCAACATTGCAGAATTTCCTGCCTAGAATGTTTGCCTTCCTCCTTTCCTTCCTGCTGTTTTTGGGATGACTAGATCTGACATGTTTCTGGCCTGTATGGATTACTATGAACTGAGGCAGTTAATTTTACTTGTTGTTTACATTCCATTGGTTCATGTGGTTGCTTCATTTTAGAGCTTTGCAGACTTCCTTTTAATAAAATGGAAAGGCGAGAGACACAATAGGGGAATTGCTAGCTTGTCATTGGGAAGCTGAGTGTTCTTCATTCTGCTAGCTGATATTTGATGCACCAGATGTCTGGACTTCCTTTGGGGGTGAGAGGGGCTCCTCCTCTCTTTTATTATTTTCAAATTGGCATTTTAGTTAAATAGATTTTCAAACTACTGCCAAAATAGTTTCATTCCATGAGAATAACACCTCATTAACAAAACTAGTGCACTTTTGATCATCCTTCTCGTCCTTGGGTCCAGTAGCATTCCAAAATGAGATAAGATAAAAAGGTCACTGTTGTTCAAGCAGGGACTTATGTTTGGTTTGTCTCTTTGCATAAATGTTCATAAATGTCAATTTACTCATCAGCATGGCTCATCAAACCCTACACAACTATCCCCTGTAGACAATACATTTCCCCCAAATATATTGCCAGAAGCATTGAGATGATGTCAGCAAATTATCACCAGAGCTTTATGGGTTTTCAGAATATTTGGCTTTAAGTAAACCCAGAAGGGTTTACTTAAGGGACGCAGGTGGCGCTGTGGGTAAAACCTCAGCGCCTAGGACTTGCCGATTGCATGGTCGGCGGTTCGAATCCCGCGGCGGGGTGAGCTCCCATCGTTCGGTCCCAGCTCCTGCCCACCTAGCAGTTCGAAAGCACCCCCGGGTGCAAGTAGATAAATAGGGACCACTTTATAGCGGGAAGGTAAACGGCATTTCCGTGTGCTGTGCTGGTGCTGGCTCGCCAGAGCAGCTTCGACACGCTGGCCACGTGACCCGGAAGTGTCTGCGGACAGCACTGGCTCCCGGCCTCTAGAGTGAGATGAGCGCACAACCCTAGAGTCTGTCAAGACTGGCCCGTACAGGCAGGGGTACCTTTACCTTTAAACCCAGAAGGATTATTAAGGGTCTTAGTGTTATAAGGTACCTGGTTATAACCTTAATCTTTATAGCAGGCTTCCTCAAACTCGGCCCTCCAGATGTTTTGAGACTACAACTCCCATCATCCCTGACCACTGGTCCTGCTAGCTAGGGATCATGGGAGTTGTAGGCCAAAAACATATGGAGGGCTGAGGTTTCTAGTATAAGTTCACTTCGTTGACAATGCTTCTTTACTGCTGGTGGATTATTATTTTTTATTTGGTTTTTCAAATTACATTTTTACAATCACATATCCAACCTAAAACATGAATGAATGAATGAATCTTTATTTTGCCTCAGCCATCGGCCATAGCAATAAAACAACAATACCATATACAAAGAATAGAAATAAAATGTCAATTATATAAAATACATTTTAGCGTTTTGAATCAGTAGTCAAATAGTGGATCTTATTCTAATTGCCCCAGCTAAAAACCTTGCAAGCTTTGCTGTCAACCTGCTCATCTTGATCTGCAAAGAGAAGGGACAGATTGGCAGTGACTGGGCAACCCAGAATGGACAATAAAAGAGGGGTGATGACCTCATTCCTCAAGTCTTTATAAAGAGTGCAACCGAGAAGGGCATGTGCCAATTCGGTACTGCCATCTCCACAGGGACATAAGGGTTTTTCTGTGGAATCTGTTGGATCAAGTACAGCCGAGGGCAAATACATTCCATCTTGCAGAGTAAAAGCGCGTCTATATTTTAGAATTGCTAGTTTATGCAGATAGGGTGCCAGAGAGTCAAAATGGGTAGGTGGGAAATTGTCATACCATGGGCAGAATTTCCTTATTGTGGCCAAGTTGTTCTGATGCTCGATATCATTTTGGCACTGACAAATTAGACTGTTTGCTTTACTAAAACCCAAAGTGAGTAGCTGTTGTGGTGATAAACCACAAGAGTGAAGTTTTTGATAGACAATTTTAGTCCAGGCGCTCTTGTGACAAACTTGCAGCACTAGGGATATTAGACTGGGGGAATTTGAGTTTAGGCAAAGCCAATAGTTAAGTGTCCAGATCCGCAATTCTCCCGAGGGAAGATTAGCGTCTAGGCACAATGATGCGTTTGGGGCACAGGGTGGTACAGAGAAAATTTACCTTAAGAACTTTGATTGGACAGCTTCTGTAGATCCCAGGTAAGTGCCTGTCCAGATCTGAGCCCCATATAATAACTTTGCTAGGGGTTTAGCATGGAACACTTCCAGGACTGATGGTATACGTTTACCACCTTTTGTGTAGAAAAAGCGTGTCAGAATTTTGGCTTTGGGACGCTTTTTCTTTTGCACATTTCTGGTGTGCTCCCCATTTTCCGTAGACTGGAAAATAAGGCCAAGATATTTGAAAACTTTGACCTGTTCAGTTAGCTGGTTGTCCATGTGCCATCTATGGGCCCTATAGTTTCTTGGGAAAACTAACAGTATCCCCAGAAAATTTATTAGCCTGGCTTCCAGTAACTACAACTGAGGTCAAAAACTTCATCATGCAACTAAAAAACAACAAAGCACCAGGCATCGATCACTTGCCTCTGGAACTCTTGAAATCTAACATTGATTGGTGGGCACCCCTCCTTGTGGTAATATTCTCACTTATTGATTCATCTGGTTTACTCCCTGACGCTTGGGCCACAGCAGTTGTCATCCCTATATTCAAAAAGGGCCTCACATCTGATCCGGTTAGCTACAGACCAATCGGTTTGTTACCTATAAACTATATGCAAAGCACCTCTATAACAAACTAGCCAACTGGCTAGATGATGAGGCTATTCTCGCTGAAGAGCAAGCAGAATTTAGGCAAGGCAGATCCACCCTGGATCATTGCTTTGTTCTAGCACATCTCATTGACAAGTATGCTAAGAAACCACGCGGTGTGCTTTTTCATTGATTTGAAAGCTGCATTTGACTCAGTTTCACGAGTAAGACTGTGAGATAAGCTGAACTTCTCAAGTATAGACAGACTACTGTACTTGGTCAAATGCTTTTATAAAGATACTGTGCTGAAAGTGCGCTGCTCCACAAATGGACAACTTACAAGACCTGTACCAGCCACAAAGGAGTCAAGCCCCAGCACTGTTCAACTTATATATAAATGGTATTGTCCAGTGTCTAGCATCTCCAGAATATCATGCCCCTAAATTGGCCACAAAACCCATCTCAATACTATTATATGCAGATGATATGGTTCTTCTATCCCAACCAAAAGTAGGCCTAAAAAGACTGATGAGGGCATTTTCAGGATATTGCCAGAGAGAACAGCTGGCCGTGAATTACAAGAAACCAACATACAACATAAAGACAAGATTCCAGAAAATCTCCTGGACTTCCCTCCTCCCCTTTGTTGGTCCTATTGTTAATCATTTCCTCCTGCAACTTTTATAATAATCCAAATCTTTTACATCTCCATTTTATCTAAAATTCACCGTAAAACTACAAGTGATTCAAATCCTAGTAACAATTTTAACTGTTTACAATGGTTTTTAAGATAAATTACAATTCCCCCCCCCCATTCTTTATTAATATTTTGGTCTTCCTGGTTTCTGATTCTTCTGGTCATTTTTGCCATTTTGGCATAATCCATCAATTTACCGTAATCTTCCATTCTTTTCTGGTTGGGACGTTATCTTCTTTTCATCTCTGGGCCAATAACACCTGGGGGATTATTTTAAGTTGGTCATGCATCCTGCTTCATTTCATCTAACCTTCTTAGCAACAAGATTGGCAGATTTTTACTTTTTATTTTTTTTAATATCAGCCTTCTCTGCCACCTCCTGATTGAGTCTTGGTGAGACTAAAAAGTTAGTTCTCTTCCAGCTTTTAGACATTCCCACCTGGGATCACCTTAAAGGTAAAGGTAAAGGGACCCCTGACCAGTAGGTCCAGTCGTGAAACGACTCTGGGGTTGCGGCGCTCATCTCGCTTTACTGGCCGAGAGAGCCGACATTTGTCTGAAGACAGTTTTATCAGGGCATGTGGCCAGAATGACTAAGCCGCTTCTGGCGAACCAGAGCAACGCACGGAAACGCCGTTTACCTTCCCACTGGAGTGGTACCTATTTATCTACTTACACTTCGTGCTTTTGAACTGCTAGGTTGGCAGGAGCAGGGACTGAGCGACGGGAGCTCACCCCGTCGCAGGGATTTGAACTTCTGACCTTCTGATCGGCAAGCCCTAGGCTCTGTGGTTTAGCCCACAGCGCCACCCGCCACCTTAACATCCAGCTATCTCACTGGCAGAATTGTCTGTGCTGAGGGACCTGGATGGTGGCTGGTTGAAAGAGATGCTGGAACTGATAGAGACTTTGCCTGATTCAGCAGGGCTCCTTATCTTATAAGGTTATGGCGAGCCTTAGAATCCTTATGGGAGGGAATCTTTCATGGCCATACGGATATAATTTAGAAGACTCCTAGGGGCTCTGCTGTAAAACTCAGTCCTATAATGATTCCCGCAGTGACTAAGCTCCGATCAATTTTGGAGTAAAACCAGGCCTCCCTCCCCCAAATGTAGTGACTCTTATATGCTCAAGGGACTCCCTGCACATGAAGCATAAAGTCTGAAGATTAAATTACCACTATGGTCTGCCGCAACTGTCACTGAATCCTTCTTCCACTCTGCTTCAGTTTGCTTACCTTGCTTATTTTTGCGACGAGAGCCCTCTGTTTAAGTTCATTCCAGTCTTGCTGTCATCCATCTGCAATTACACTGCTCTTGCAAGCTAGTCAAGCTATGTCACACCTTTTTGCTGCCATTGGCCTTAGCTACTCCAGTGTCACAGTCTGTGATGTCATAGAGACTTGGACCACACAACTGTCTGCTTTGGAACAATGTGGGGGGGGGAGAGAAACTTATTCTGTGTTCTGAGGAGGCTCAGCTGCATTCTGGGTAAGTTTACGCTAAGCAAAAGGGTACAAGAAGAGTTTTTGAATAACACCTTGCTAATGCCCATTGGTCAAGCAGTTTCAGATCCTAATTCTGGAAAGAGATAGACCTCTGTAGCAACTTAACATTGTAGGGGATGAATGCTTAGAGAGAGAAAGAGAGAGAGAGAGAATATTTACTTTGTGCAAACCCTTTGAGGTGTCATGTTTAAAAAAATGATATGTATAGACCAGGGGTCGGCAACGTGTGCCCCATGGGCCGGATGCGGCCTGCGAAGACCATTTTACCGGCCCATGAGCTGCCCCTGAACCCAGCCTCCCGCTCGGCGAGTCCCCCCCCCGCGCTGTGCTAAACTGGCGCAGTGCGGGGACTTGCCAAGCGGCACCAGAAATCACATCTACGCATGCACAGATACCGGAAATTGCATCTGCGCATGTCCAGATGTCGGAAATCGCTTCTGCGCAAGCGCGATTTTCAGCGTCTGGGCATGCACAGAAGCGATTTCCAGTGTCGCACCGTGCCAGTCCGGCCCACAGATGATCTCCGTGGGAGTGATCCAGCCCATGGCCAGTAAACTTTGCCGACCCCTGGTATAGACTCATGTGATGTTTGTTAGTTCTACATTAGTGTTAGCTGAAGGACCATGAATGGTGTAGATGCATATTTTCTGGAATGGCCTGGTGGACACCCAAAACATTGGGATAAACTAGAGATATGGCTATGGTGTATTATGACTGTGTTTCTCAGCCAGATGGGTGGGGTATAAACAATAACATTATTGGTTTTATTATTATTATTATTATTAATTGAATTAATATACTGCCCTATACTTGGAGGTCTCAGGGTGGTTCACAGAATAAAATCAAAATATAAAACCACAAAATACATAATCAAAAGCATTCAACAGACGGGGAGCCACTACAGAGAAGGCCCGTTCTCGTGTTTCCTCCCTCCAGATCTCTCAAGGAGGAGGCACAAGAAGAAGGGTCTCAGAAGATGATCTCAGGGTCCGGGTAGGTTCATATGGAAAGAGGTGGTACTTGAAGTATGGCTGTCTGAGCCATTTAAGGCTTTATAGGTCAAAACCAGCACTTTGAATTCAGCCCGGAATCTAATTGGTAGCCAGTGCAGTTGTACCAGGATCGGTGTAATATGCTCAGAGCAACCTGACCGCTGAATTCTGCACTAGCTGAAGTTTCCAAACCGTCTTCAGAGGCAGTCCTACGTATAACACATTGCAGTAATCTAATCTTGACGTTACCAGAGCATAGACAACAGTAGTTAGGCTATCCCTGTCCAGATAGGGGCGCAGCTGGGCCACCAGGCGAAGCTGATGGAAGACACTTGGGGCCACTGAGGCCACCTGAGCCTCGAGCGACAGCACAGGATCCAGGAGGACCCCCAAGCTACAAACCTGCTCCTTCAGAGGAAGTGTAACCCCATCAAGATCTCCCACCCATCCGGTCCAGGGAACCACCCACTAATAGTGCTTCAGTCATATCTGGATTGAGTTTCAGTTTGTTGGCTCTCATCCAGTCCATTACCGAGGCAAGACACGTTGTTGTTGTTTGTTTAGTTTGTCTCTAATTGTTCTGCTGCAACTACAGAAAAGTATTGCAGAAAGCAGATGGGCATCTCACAGAAATGAAGACCGAGGCAGGGTGGGGGGCAGAGACAGTGGCGGAGCTTCATACTCCGGCACTGGGGGGCGGATAGCAGGCAGGGCTGGGTGGTGTGGCACACGTCCTGGGGGTGTGGCGCCAACGTGGGCGGGGGGGCAGCCACGATGGCACCCCACCGGGATCGTGCTGTGGGGGGCGGTGCGCTCCCCCCACCCCTCTTCCTCCGCCAGTGGGCAGAGATAAGTAAGCCAGCATCTTTCCTTACTCCTCTGCCACTTTTGCTTTGAAAGATCTCCCTGCTGTTCATAGGTACATTCTCCCTCAAGATTTAAGCTTTCCAGCTCATGGAAAAACAGCACCGGAGCCCTTCAACAAAGGGAAAAGGCGATGGAAGCTCTCCTTGTGAAGGCAGCTGAATGCCTGCCTATGACATGAGCACAAAGGCTGGAATTAGAATTTCAAAGCCAACATTATTATCCCTTTCTTGTTTTCTTAGCTGGAAATGCACTCGCGTTGTGTGTGTGGACTTGCTTTCAGTTCTGCGCCGCCAACATTTAAGATGAAATTTAAACATGACTTAGGCATTTGGAAAAGGTGCAGCCTCTCTGCATGTCATTGAATCTAGCGGCAACCCAGGATCCTGTGCTTTTACTTGCAATTCTGCTTGAAGTCTCTTTAATGGAAAGCCTTTGAAGAACATAAAGGAAGACGAGGCTGAAGAAGAGTAGGGCACTCAGCGATACAGCCCCGCTGAAACCAGAAGAATAGGAGCCAAAGGTCAGAAAGACTTTACACATGCCAGACCACACAGCAGTGGTGACCAGTCTGTGGCTCTGCAGGTGATGTTGGATTCCAGGACCGATCAGCCACAGCCTGACAACACCTTGAGGGTCACAGGTTAGCCACCCCATCTTAAAGACTCACTCACAGACTCCACACTCTGGGGAATATTGTAGGGCGGTGGTAAGGAACCTCCAGCCCACAGGCTGATTAAAGCTGGCAGGAGGGGTCCTAATTTATTCCGAGAAGCTGCTTCCCCCAGGTGTGGGGTAGATAAGGGCAAGACTGTGAGAACAATCTGGGACCTTGTTCCTCGGCAAGTGGGGCTTGTGGTTGCCTTTTAAACTGTGGCAATCACTCCCCCCAGAAGACACGGCTGGTCCTCAACTTGGATGGCTTTTAAAAAAGTGTTAGACACATTCATGGAGGAGAAGGCTATCAAGTACTCTTTGCTCATGTTCTGTTCGCTGGTTTCCCACAGGCATCTTGTCAGCCACTGTGAGAACAGGATGCTGGGCTAGAATTCTGTAGTGGAGCCAGTCCCTGCCAAAAGGGACTCTTGAAAACAGCACCGACCAGCCATGACCTCACGTTCCACTGGGCTTGGCAACACTCCAGAGTATCAGGAATTCTGGAGTTCTAAGTCACCACTGATCAGCTTGACTTCAAGGCTTCTTTGATCAGCTGGGATCTTCCTTTGCAATGAGGCTTGAAGCCATGCTGATGGGCAGTGATTTAAGCTCCAGAGCAATTCTCAGGAAATGAAAAACGTTCCTTTGCAGCATGGCTCGATTTCAAGCCCTGGTGCAAAGGAAAAACGGGTCACTTGCACCATCACTGTTGCATTTGCAATTGCCATCGGCGAGTCTACATTCTCACAGGGCTCTTGTCAGTGTTCCCTCCTGCTGGGGTGCAGGGCACCATAAGATGCCTGATCATGCCAACTCCTGATGAAACCAGGAGTTGGCTGCAAAGCGGGGCAGTGTTGTGCCACCACCCACTTGATAGCAGTGTCTCTGCCACTTACCTGCTGTTGTCTGCACAGCGCCAACCTCACCCCTGCCCTGCCCCACATTTTCCCAGTAAGTAGCAGTGGTGCTGCTGTTGGGAGGGAGGAGGAACAGTATCCCTTGCCAAGCTCGCCACTCTTGGTCGACCAAATTTAAGATAATTAGAGGCAAATCATTCCCAGCAATAATGATATTACTGATCTGCTGCCTCTTCTGCCATTGCTTTATTCTCTCTCTCTCTGTGTGTGTGTGTGTCTTTTAATGGAGCTGTTTGGTTTAACAGATTTATAAATCTTTCCAAATAAATAAAATAAATTCAAGGAAATTTGCATCAGGAATCCAGAAACTGAATTGGGGTAACCCCAGATTTACCACAGTCCTGTTTCATCCCTGATGGCACAGATTTCACCACTGAAACACATACAAGTTTACACCAGTATAGTGCCTCGTGCCCATTACAATGCTGTGTGTGGTTCACACAATCACATAGCAATGAACCCAGACAAGAGTCAGGCCTCCAAAATGTAGCACCCTGCTTGTGGTTAACGCTTAGCTGGAATGAAATATTCAACGCAGCAATAGAGAAATTAAAATAATAATTTATTTGTCAGACAAATAAATGAGAGACACAGTGGTATATGGATACCAAAGCTCTGCCTCCTCCAGCCCTGATGGCCAGCACTTATATTTCCTCAGCCCAGCCCCCTTGCTCCTCCTTTGGCTGCCTCTGTCCAATCAGCCTGGTTGAAATTCCTATTGGTTGTTTGCTAGAACCAATCATAAAAGATACACCCATTTCCTATTTCCTTTTATGGGAGACAAAGAGCTATATTTCCTTGTATCCATAAATGGCAGACAAGTAGCCATATATCTTACATTTACCTCGACCAGGCACCTCAATTACCAGATAACCTTTGGCCCCTGTTGCCCTATTCACTGCAAACCAGATGGCTAAAACAGATGGTGCATGGTTTTTAATTTTTTTTATCTTAAAGAGATCTTGAGTTCACCTTCTCACCCACCATAATAAGAATCTAACATAAGAATCTAACATTTCTTACTTTCTAAATCCTTTGCATACTTACATTTAAGCCAATATATTTCATACATAACATAGATAGATTTTTAGAAGGAAAGGCCTTTTCAAATTAAAGGAATTTAGTAAAAGCTAAGTTCTCTAAGTTCTCTAAATTCTCTGAAGCTTCAAAACAGCTTGGAGAGAAGCCTTTTTCCTAACCAGCTGCTGTTCCTAAAAGCAACCTCTTCAATTTAACCTTTAACCTTATGGCTCGAGTCTTCTGTTAAACAATAAATTTCACTATTTACCAGCTCTTAATTGTGTTTTTGCAGCTTGATTGTATCCTGGTCAGTGTGACCTTTTTGCTCTCAGCCTGTAATTTCCTTTTACAACCCTGAAATACTTTTTACAACCCTGAAATACTGCTATTTATAGCAGTGGGGCCCTTGAACAGCTGCCAGAGTATTCAGCTGGTCTCTCCCTGGCATGAGAGATATAAATATTTACAAATATATTTTTTAAGCTCAAAGCAGATTTTGATTAGATGCCTCAAAAGAACTTCAAATAACACTGAAATTAAATTAAACGTAACTAGGACCAGAATAGGAATGGGGTGGGTGGAAGAGAACTATCTTACCTAATACCTTACAGCACAGTTTAGATTCAAGACAGACCCAAACAAAAGGAAGTGTAAATTTAAAAAAAGGATGGATTGGAATAAAGGAGGAAGAGAAGACAGGGAAGTACTAAGCATATAACCAATATCCAGTTCTATACACTTTTCGCAGCTCCTAAGAGACTGAACTGACAGTGGATACATTTAAAACAGCTTCTGAGATGTTCCTTCTATGTCCTTCCTCAAAATCACTGTGATTGGAGGTATACAAGGAGAGCTCTGGTTTGTTTTTGGAAACTACAGCTCTCCGTCACCAAATTACACCCCCCCCCCCTCTGACTCCTCACTCCTCTCTGCTGGTGCCTTTCCATTTTATGGAGGCTCAAAATGGCCAAAAGTAAAAGCACCATTTTGAATTTTTGAGGAGGTTCTGAAGCTAGGGACCAGCCCACTTCACTTTGCACCCAATGCACTATGGATTCCCAAGTGGTCCAGACAGCTCTGAAGTTCGTCTATTTGCTTTGGAGTCATTCTGAAGCTTTTATGAGTCTCTAATGTCTAGGTCTAGCACAATAATCAAAGTGGAGATTTTTAGTTGCTTGTGAAATGCAAGAGCCCATGAAATTCGTCTCTGACAGCAAATGGTCAATTATAGTTTGGAAGGCTTTTTTTCCAGTAGTGAACATCTGGTCCACTACTTTCACCCAAGGACATTTTCCCTCACGAAAACCTTGTTTCTGCATGTATTTCCTTGTTTATATTTGGAGTGTTCAGAAAGCCCAGATCTTCTTTCCGCACTGTTGGCCTTGTCTGCTTGAGTGAACCTACAGAATCCAAAGATTGTATTTCCAATCACTCTTGAACCATGTTGATCCAGGAGGAGTGGCTCTCCTAAGATGAGAGCAACATGATTTGTCATCTCTCTGAAGAGCTAAAAATATAGAGTAAAAATAACATATGAAAGGTCAGGAGGACACTGTGAGAGTGCTTTTCCTCTGACGAGAAACATAATTGTTCACAACAGTATAAAGTGTCATGTCTGCTTCTGATGGATAACATCTATTTTCATTTCCAGCACAGACTCTCATTGTTATCCCCAATGTTATCCCCAATTACTGCTGCTGCGAATAGACTCTTAATTGAATTGTCAGGGACTGTACTTTTTTGCGTTTTGTTGTCATCTGAACCCACAGTTTACTGTTTTTCTCGACACCTGCCTATGCCATAGTAATTGTGTTGGTCCAGTGGTTCTCAAACTTTCCCCTCCACCCTCTGGGCCACACTTTCAGAATAAAAATTTGCTCAAGCCAACAAGTCCATACAAGCCTTAGCAGGGCTTGATTCATAATATAGAACACAACTACTTCATAATATGATTATGGGACATCCAGGAACTATAAAACAATGCAGCTACATAAGCACATGAAACACTCCCAAAATATAATTATCACTGAGCCTCTTACATATGTACCTTAAGTATCTAGATAAACCCAATGAGCGGTGTGAGCTTGCTTTTGCCGGGCAGTCTCATATATATTAGGTCCAATTTGAGACAAACTAACTCTTATTTCCTCATCAGCACATGGAAGCCTTTCTCTTTTCTGATCTCTCGTATTTGTCAGAATCGAAAATCCCTGTTCTCAACAACATGTCATGGAGAACCATAGAAGAATAAGCAATGCTCTTGAAGAGATGCGTGGCTACAGTTCCTGGTTGTATATCCAAAAAAACCTATACTATACTATACTATACTATACTATACTATACTATACTATACTATACTATACAGTGGTACCTCTGGATGCGAACGGGATCCGTTCCAGAGCCCCGTTCGCATCCTGAAGCGAATGCACCCCGTGTCTGCACGTCCGCGCATCTGCAGGTCGCAATTCGTCGCTTCTGCGCATGATGTCATTTTGAGCGTCTGCGCATGCACAAGCGGAGAAACCCGGAAGTAACGCGCTCCATTACTTCTGGGTCGCCACAGAGCGCAACCCAAAAATGCTTAACCTGAAGCTACTTCAACCCGAGGTATGACTATACTATACTATACTATACTATACTATACTATACTGAAATGTCTAAGTAGTTAAACATTTAAATGTTTCTTTGATTGTCCTTGAATCTTCCTGCCACAGTAAGCATCTTCTTCTGCCTCACAAGTGTAGCCTGCCACTTCATGAGTCTTTTGGGTGTTATAAGGGTCTGTTGTTTTTCTTGCAACAGCTAGCCCTCCAGAAGCACATATTTTACAATTTTGTATCGTACCAGAAATGACATAAGAACATATGAACCATTACTGTCTCCAACCAATGTCACATGGGAAACTCACCCCCCCCCCAATGTAAACAGTCCTTGAATCAGGACTATGCCTAAGTTGCAGCAGGTAAAGCCAAACATTTAGACCTAAGTGTAGTCCTTGGTTGTTATCTTGCCCAGAGGAACAGACAAGGGACAGGAGGTCATGAGGAAAGGAAAGGCTGACTATTGCTGGTCATATGGCTGCTCTGCTTTTAATGGCAAATTCCAGACAGGCTGGGGTTATAATTTTCTCACCTCCATCTCGCTCTTTCTGTACACATTTAAATAATAAACTATAACCAGAATGTGCACGTCTCTCTTTGTGTCTTTGTGGTGCTATCATTTTGATTTCTTTCTCTTTTTAAAAAGGTCCAATATGCAACTTAATAATTAAATTAATTAAACTTAATAATTAAATTTAACAGTACAGAACATCATAGAGATAAAAAAATACAACACATACCTGTATATAATATCTAATTTCCTCTACAATATTTATTTATATTGCATTAAAAAATTACCAGATTGTTTACACTATTCATAATTATTAATATTTTGACTTGGGGGGAAATCACAGCAAGTGCAAAAATATCCAAGAGCTGAATCACCCTTTACTTAGCAGAAGCATTTGTCACCATGTACAATACTGCATTTTGCAGCATCGCTGTAAAATATGAAAGGGAAGCCTGCCCCTTTGGACATACAGAAGGCACGTGTCAGGGGGCTTGAGACCAGTTGTGGTTTTCCATTCTGCGTTTATCACTTGCCCCACTGTGTGATTACTGGCACGGGTTTTTCCTCTTCACACTTCACAGCAATCACCAGATGTCAGTGCACTGCGCACAGGTTAAACAGCAGCCTCTGTTGCACAATATAGGAGTCAAAGCTCAGACACAACCACAGAGGAGTCAGAACTGCAGTCGGCAAGCTGCCAGCTCAGGATAGCTACAGGGGAAGCGTCTTTTGGGATTATGGGAAGTAGGCGAAGGCTCAGGAGATGGATGTCCATCAGCTGCTGTCAATCAGGTTGAAATAAATACTTCACATATTTCCATACAGGACAGAAATCAAGTGCAGAAACACCACTAATGAGATAACCTCCTAGGGCACAAATTCTGAGATTATTGGATTTAACCTAGACAGCATCTTAAAAAACAGAGACATCACCTTGCCAACAAAGGTCCATATAGTTAAAGCCATGTAGTGATGTAAGTGAGAACTGGACTATAAAGAAGGCTGATCGCCAAAGGATTGATGCTTTTGAATTATGGTGCTGGAGGAGACTCTTGAGAGCTCCATGGACTGCAAGAAGATCAAACCTATCCATTCTTAAGGAAATCAGCCCTGAGTGCTCACTGGAAGGACAGATCCTGAAGCTGAGGCTCCAATACTTTGGCCACCTTATGAGAAGAGAAGACTCTCTGGAAAAGACCCTGGTGTTGGCAAAGATTGAGGGCACAAGGAGAAGGGGACAACAGAGGATGAGATGGTTATACAGTGTTCTCGAAGCTACCAGCATGAGTTTGACCAAACTGCGGGAGGCAGCAGAAGACAGGAGTGCCTGGCGTGCTCTGATCCATGGGGTCACGAAGAGTTGGACATGACTAAACGACTAAACAACAACAAATGTTTTTGTTGGCAACCATCTGTCTCGAGAGATGATGGGGGGGAACCTCCCCAAAGTTCTGCCCTCCACACCCAAGGCATGACTTAAAGACTTGCCCATTCTGGTGTCAACAAATGCCAACACAAGGATATCACGTCCCACGTGTTGTATCTTCTTTCAAGCCAACAAAGCAACAAGTGGCTGTGCAGAACTGTAATGAGGTCTACACTTTATTTCCCATCCTGGGCTCCTTTGGGAGGAAAGGCATTCTATAGTAAATATATCTACTACATTTATAATAAATTTAATAAGTGAAATAATAAATAAAATAAAGTTTCATGAATAGGTGCAAGAAAACATAAGACGGATGTGTTGAAGCTAAACTCACATTTCCTAACTTCCATTTGTGGATCTTACTCCAAAGAACTCCTTGTCTTCCTTAGTTTAATTGTTATTTACATAGGATATTTCCCTCATTCAGCTTCTCAGAAGGTCATACAATACTGCATTCTGGTAGATATTAAGTTTTAATAACACCTATGATATTACTGGCTGCTGTGCACACAGTTCTCTATAAATAAGAACCCATAATTGTCATGGTGTTCTTAACGCATCTCCCTTTCTCCTGTTCGAGATGCAAGTCAACACGACTCTTGCCACCTCACGAGTTAGTAGTGGGGATTGCTAAATTTCCACTAGATTCCATTCGGTTTCCAGAAATTGCTTTTACATTGTGTGAAAGATCACATAAAACACAGAAATTACCGGGTAAGGAAGCATTGGGGAAACAGAATAAAGTCTTTTCTGAATGCAGCCTATAATTTTGCTATAAGATTTGGTTAGCTCTCCTGTTTGCTGATTTTGTTTTTCTTACTCACAGCCCCCCTCTCCTCTCCCATTTAATAGTCATCTCCAAACATATCCCAACTTGCAAGAAAACCTGCGTAGGAGCTGTGGCATTGTTGAGGAAGGAAGTGGCAAATGGAATTGGCAAACGGGCTGAATTTTAACAAGGCTAAATGAAACACGCTCTCTTGGCGAGATGACAACCAATCAAGCTGATTACAGTATCCCAGTAATTGGCCACGGAGCATATTAAAGGGGCTTTTTGGAAAGAGTGATTGGAGGCGAGTCATAATGAACTATCTGGCTGGCAGGATGGAGAATGTGCCCACCTTTGATTTCACACTGCACACAGCTGAAACATGAAGGCACATGTTTTCTGAAGACAAGGGAGATGAAGCCCCCAAAATGGCAGGGGAAAAAAAATGCTTTTAGCTTGCAGCAGTGCTTCTTAATAATATTAATTTTTTATTTATACCCCGCCCATCTGGCTGGGCTTCCCCAGCCACTCTGGGCAGCTTCCAACAAAATATTAAAATGCAATAACCTATTAAACATTAAAAGCTTCCCTAAACAGGGCTGCCTTCAGATGTCTTCTAAAAGTCTGGTAGTTGTTTTTTTCTTTGACATCTGGTGGGAGGGCGTTCCACAGGGCGGGTGCCACTACCGAGAAGGCCCTCTGCCTGGTTCCCTGTAAGTTGGCTTCTCGCAGGGAGGGAACCTCCAGAAGGCCCTCGGCGCTGGATCTCAGTGTCCGGGCAGAACGATGGGGGTGGAGACGTTCCTTCAGGTATACTGGGCCGAAGCTGTTTAGGGCTTTAAAGGTCAGCACCAAAACTTTGAATTGTGCTCGGAAACGTACTGGGAGCCAATGTAGGTCTTTCAGGACCGGTGTTATGTGGTCTCAGCAATCGCTCCCAGTCACCAGTCTAGCTGTTGCATTCTCAACACCCCAAACAAACTACAGTTCCCAGGAGGCTTCGATGGGAGCTGTGGTTCTTTAAAGTAGCACGATATTGTTTTAACTGTATGGTGCACATGGGACGTTATACCATACCCTTGGGGGTGAGGGAACTTCATAAATGTCAGTGAACTGCCATCAGTGCCGGAGGGAGGGAGAGAGCTCCAGAGGGATCCCAGAGAGCGTCATGGGATTGGGAGAGGCAGCCCATCCTCTGGGGAAGGGAATCAGCTCAGCTCCAGTGGAGAAGGGGGGCAGATGGGGGAATCTGAGAGGGAGTCACATGACTCCTTGCCTGGGACCAGTGGGGGGGAGGAAGGGTCCTCCGCTGCCTACGCCTTCCTTGCGCAGAAGGCTTCCGCGCAGGGAAAGTAGGAGGTGACTGGGCATGAAAGAACTTCTATGCTGGAACAAGTTTAAGAAACGCCCACTGACGGATTCTGCCAGCGATTGAGACAGCCACGGGTGAGTGGCTGTCCGGACAGAAAAGCTTCACTTAGGCAACCCAGCCAGGTGTGGGCACCGGCTTACGCACGAGCAACCCCTTGAACCATTACAATAAATAATACTGCCCTCAATAAGATAATATTTTAAGGTTGGCCAATGTTTCTCTCCCCTTATTACCAATGGGGTGAAAGAGGCCTGAGACTGAGATGTGGGGCTTGCCTGACTCAGGTCACCTAGAGAATCCACAGTGAAGCAGACATTTGAAGAAGTGACTTTGTGATTCACCACTGTCCTTCTTGCCCACTTTCCAGCACTAGCTTTTAGCAAATCACAGTGTCTTTTCTGGCTGTTTAAAGCTGATTTGGGCGGTGGATGTTGCACATTGAAAGGGATCGAGGGAAGCTCATAGCATAGTGACCCGAAGATTATTCTTTCGGACCAATTTATTTCACTGCACGTGGCAATGTATTATCCCAACAGAGCAGGATCAGCATTTCTGTCTTTCTGGCCAGATGAAATTCAGAATGGCTTAGAATCTAAATCGAAAGCATTTGGGAAGACATAAGTGGTGATGTGCATTCATTCAGCATTAAGCGGGGGGAAAGGCAATGCGGTTAGGAAGTTGGAGACAGAGGACACTTGCGATCTGCTGTCATTGACCATATGCTTAAAGAGATTGGATGGGCAAAGGCCAGATGGTATTATTTAGCCTTCAAAGTGTGCTTTGTGTAGGTTTGCTAGACTGATTATATTATCCTAAAACAGAGAGCTTAAAATATGCTTGCTGCAGTTATTGTGAAATGTTGCTTTATTGAAATGGTCAAATTCCCTGGCTCCTTGCCATCCCTGACCTTTCCAGGTTTGTTCCAATGCAGACTGTTTCCGAAAATCTGTTTTTAGGGTTCATTCAGGAGCTATCGCCCTGGTTTAACAATGACCGACACTTGATTAAAGGTACTTAAACTGTTACTCTGTCTGATCTCTACAACTCCAATAACAAAGATTCTGCTGGATGTCGCCTGAGTATTTAATCTTGGGACCCTTTGAAATGTAAATCACTTGCATTAACTCCTGCAGTCTTATGTCTCTCTGGATAATTCGGATTATGTGGAAATTCTCAGACTTTTATCATACGTCGACTCTCTATAATCACGTTAGATGTTCAAGAACAGATTTTCCCATCTCCTTAATTCTGCATCAAGGCAGCTCGTGATTTTACGTATGGGCTGATTAGTAAGCTGTTTGTATTCCTCCAGGGGAAGTAAAAAAATACATTGCAAAAGAAGTGGTACTAGTAAGCTGTTATCATTCTGGCCTTGAAATAATCGGACTAATTTTCATTTAATGTTGTCCATAGTCCTCCAGGGAACGAATACTTTCCAAAAATATATTTATTTTTAATGCAATGCTCTACTTGAGATCCTCTAACAGTCCAAAACAGCAGTAGGCTGGAACTCTGCACAACAGCCTCATAGATTAGATCAAGAGAACATTTAAAAAAACCCAACTCTATTGTTCTAATATAATGAATCTGACTCCAGTCCATGAAAGCTTAAGCTGTAATAAATTTGTTAGTCTCTAAGATGTCACAACTTGATTCTTTATCATTTTAGTTTCCCAAAAAGTATCCTAAAAGGGGTTTCTCCTTCAAATATAGGCACGTCAGAGTATTTCTTCTTCTTTCTTTGGTGATCACTTGTAGCCAAGTAAGATTGTCTTCCATAAACATGGTTTTAACAGTGAGTCCGTAAGTGACTGTGGAGGCCAATTCTGGATCCACACGTCCTTCCACAGTGGGAACATAGGTTTCCAGGTGGGAGTTGATCACAGTGTGGATTTGTCAAGTGTGCTTTCCTCTTAGCACGTTTCTCCCTTGCATCCTGAGTTCAAGTGTCTTCAAAGCCCATGACACCTTTGGTAAAGGCTGTTCTCCAACTGGAGAACAACTGTTTTCCAGCTGTCAGTGTTTACACTACATTTTTAAAGATTTGCCTTGAGACAGTCTTTAAACCTCCACCAGCATTAGACCACCAGCATTACGCTTTCCATTTTTAAGTTCAGAACAGAGTAGTTGCTTTGGAAGATGATCATCAGGCATCCAAACAAAATGACCAGTCCAACAAAGTTGATGTTGAAGAATCATTGCTTCAGCACTGGTGATCTTTGCTTCTTCCAGTACACTGATATTAGTTCGCCTGTCTTCCCAAGTGATGTGTAAAAATTTTTGGAGACACCATTGATAGAATCTTTCGAGGAGTTGGAGATGGTGTTTATAAGTTGTCCATGTTTCATAAGCATATAGTAAGGTTGGCAGTACAATAGCTTTGTAAACAAGCATTTTGGTTTCCCTGCGAATGTCCCTGTCCTCAAACACTCTGCACTTCAATCGGGAGAAAGCCTCAGAGTAATACTACAAAAGAAGTACTATTCTTTCAGAACTGTGAGGATACAGTGATGTGTGTGAATTTAAAAACAAGAGACAAGTTGACGATAACAGAATTAATCTTTGTGGAAAAGTTCTCTGCTTATATTGAATGACAATCAAGATTTTGTGGGAGATTGCTGTCAAAAATAACTATACTGTACATGAGTGCTAGTTAGTGCATGAAGGGGTTAAGACAATAGAGCTGGATTCCTAGACTCAGCTAGGTCACGCCCCACCTTCTCCAATAAAAGAGGAAGCAAAGCCTTCTCTTCCTGCTCTCTGTCTCTCCACACTAAGGAAGACTTGTCTAAGCAAGCTGCAAGCTTAGAGCACGTGCTTGAACTTATCTTTCTGCATTTTCTATCCAAGAGTATTCTGCGAGTGTTCTTGCTACTGGTGCATCTGATCTTTGGGATGTTTTGTACAGTAAGTAAAGTATTTTAACCTTACTTCACAGTGTGCGGTTTGCTCATTGCAAGAGGGGTAGAAAGAGAGGAGCGTCATTTGCAAGCAGACATAACAGGATAAAAGGGTCTAACACCTATATTCCCAGGTTGCTGCTGCTTGACTTTTGTGAGTTTTTAAACTCTACTACTGAGGGCTCTCTCCTGCTAGAAAGTGAGTTTAGTCCTGTATTTCAAATCTAGGCTCCCAGCCAATTCTTGTGTTATTCACCCCACATATGTGGGTCATATTTTCCCTCCCACCTATGTTCAATATTTTCAGAGTAAATAAGGGAAGAGGAAATGGCATTGCAATTCACAACATGCAATTAGACAAAGAACAAGGACCAGACAGGTATATCCAGTTGAATGGTAAAACTCCAACCACTTGGTATGTGGGCAGTTAAGAACACATAGTGAAGCACTGAAAGCAAGAATGGTGCTAATTCAGTGCATGAATTCTGGTTTAAATATGATAAAGCCCCAGCAGTCTGTATCATTTATAGTCTTGTTTCTTACTGTAGATCCAAAACCCTGCCTACAATACTGGCAGACCATTTAAAACAGATTATTTTGGAATCGGTTGGGGAGAGCAGGTGGAGTTGCATTTTGGGTCTGACCAAATCTGGATCTTAGTCGACGTTTCATCAGTTTGCTTACAGCAGCATAAACCAAGAAGTGAATTAGCACTAGATGTTGATAAGACATTTGATTGCACAGATTTAAAATATTTCTTGGTCTGCAGCCATTTGATTTTCTTCCTTTATGTATAAAATGGATCAACCACCCTAAATTATGGTTTATAATTAATGGCATGTTATCTGATACTCTGGCTTTACAAAGCAGGAATTATGCGGGTTTGTTCTCTCCTTTATTAACCTTTAATTAACCACATGCAAATATGGTAAGATCAGACACACAAATTGAAGGAATTAAAATTGGTAGAGAGAAATATAAATTGCAGTTATATGCCCTGGATGCTAATGCTGACAGATTCTTTTCATAGCTGAAGT